AATATTAAGATGGCAATACTGCCCAGATTGATCTACAGATTCAAGACAATCCCTATCAAAATCTGTGTGGAACAGAGATAATATATTAGACCTAAGAATATTGTCATTTGAAAATCCTGCTTACAAAGGTTGGCCCTTGGCTAGCATCTGGGAACTTGGATTTGAAGAGGCATTTACTAATATATATGAACCTGTGCTACCCTTAGCAGGGTAAGTGAAAATGGGTAAAACACAGTAATTCTCCTCAAGAAGTCCTGTTTTTGGAAAGATAAAGCTCACAATGAAACAAATACACCACAAGGCAGAATGTGATATGTGAATTATAAACTCACTAGGTGAATATAAAACTGTTGAGAATTTCAGAAGACACGTATGATTGAGTCCACTCTTATTATCAACACCATCACTATTGTCATAATCATCTCAACATCACCAAAAGTTACTGAGTGTGTAAACACATGAGCCACTGCTAGGTTGTACAAAGAGACAGTTACTGCCTTCCTTGAACCTATACACATCTTCATGATGGAAATATTAAGGAAATGTATCAATAAATACGACATACACAAAAATGCAGTTTTTAGGATGGGGAGTGCTTCTGTCAAGAGAAATCACCAATTTCCCTTTTAACTGGAGGGATGCCTTCTCAAGACGCCTTTTGTACAGGGTGTTCTTCTACTGCATGGGAAAACGTTTTCCAACAGCTGCGACCTCCTAGTGGCCACATGAAGTCATTACCCCGATTCATCATCCTGACTTGAGAGCAAGAGGCACAGAAGGCTGGAGGGCAGTTGGTGAGATCACGGCTCACTGTAGCATCAACCTCCCATGCTGAAGCGATCCTCCCACCTCAGCCTTTTGAGTAACCGGTACTACAGGCACGTGCCACAACACCAAGCTACTTTTTTGCTTGTTTGTTTGGTAGAGACTGAGGTTTTGCTATGTTGCCCAGGCTGGTTTCAAACTCAAACTCCTGTCCTCAAGCAATCCTCCTGCCTCAGCCTCCCAAAGTGCTGGGATTACAAGTGTGAGCCACCGCACCCGGCTGTAATGTTTAAAACATGCATTCACTGATATGCTACGCGCAGGGCAGGATAAAGATTTTTTCACCAACTAATACTATAGTTAAGGTTTTTGTGTTTTGTTTTGTTTTGTTTTTTCTTTTGAGACACAGTCTTACTCTTTCACCCAGGCTGGAGTGCAGTGGTGCGATCTAGGCTCACTGTAGCCTTCGCCTCTGGGTTTCAAGTGATTCTCCTGCTTCAGCCTCCAGAGTAGCTGGGATTACAGGTGCCTGCCACCACGCCCGGCTAATTTTTGTATTTTTAGTAGGGACGAGATATTGCCATGTTGGCCAGGCTTGTCTTGAATTCCTGAGCTCAAAACAATCCACCTGCCTTGGCCTCCCAAAGCTAGGATTACACGTGTGAGCCACCATGTCAGGCCTCAAGTACTCTTTAAAAGGCTATTTTGTCAGATGTTCCAGACAAGTTCGTTGGTTTGACAGGGAGGAAAAAAATCTGATTAAAGGCTACATTCCCTCAGTCAGTTTTCCACCCACATCTCCAGCTTGATACCTTATATTTCTATATTTATAATATATAATCAATATGTAAGGCAAAAAGCTCTTGTCACAGGTAACAAAACAAAATCTTCATCATTCCCTGCAGATAGTATATCAGTGAATGAATGTTTTAAATATTACAGCCAGAATTTAAACACAAGCAGTCTGATTCCAGAAAACAAACATGACCAGTACCCCGTATCTGCCTCCTTGATAGATAACTGAAAAAATATCTGTTCGCTAAGTAAATGAGTATCTTCTTGTAAAGGTCATCATTGTAGACAGTATCCCACCGGGATGCACATAAGGGAAACGTAGCATTAACACAAGTCACCCTAAGTTTTTAGTCATGAGAGGAAAAGGTCTATCCACCAAAACAACAGCAACACAAAAATCACAAAACAAGCAATTTCATTCTATTTTTTTCTAGCTTTTCACATCAACAACAACAAAAAAACTTATTCAGTAAACGTTGTGATTTTTCCAAAATTTTTTAAAAGTATTTTTCCCTTAGCTGGCATACCTCCAGTTGACTTAAACTTTTCTTTGGGTACCATTCTGAGAAGATACTGAGGAAAGAGAAGACAGCCCTTCGACTCCACAATTTGTCAATATTTCCCTCCTCCCAGGTATATAACATTCTCATAAAGTCTCCTTTCTTCTCCTCCCTATACCTCTGCATTAAAGCCTAAGAGAAAAGATCTGTTATTATCTACCTTACTTTTACATGAAAATAGATTACTGATGGATCCGAGATTTGAATGTAAAAATGAAACCATGAAAATACAGACAAGCTATAAAAGAATATTTCCATAATCTTGCAAAAGGAAGAAAAACTTTCAAAACAGGATGAGAAATTTTTCAGTAGCTAAAAATTTTTAAATTTCTGTTTGGCAAAAATCAATACTCTAAGCACCCACCTCACTACTAGAAAAAGAAGAGAAAAGTAAATCCAATGCAAGCATAAGGTAGGAAATAATAACAACAAAAGCAGAAATCAATGAAATTAAAAACAGAAAAACCAAGAGTAAAAATCAATGAAACAAAGTCTGGTTCTCTGAAAAGATCAAAAAGCTAACAAACCTCTAGCAAGACTGACAAAGAAAAAGAAGACACAAATTAGCAACATCAGAAATGACACAGATGAATAAATTTTAGAGATCTGCTGTACAACATAGTGCCTATAGTTAACAATATAGTATTGGGCCAGGCTCAGTGGCTCATGCCTGTAATGCCAACATGCTGGGAGACCAAGGCGGGTGGATCACTTGAGGTCAGGAGTTTAAGACCAGCCCGGCCAACATGGTGAAACCCCATCTCTACTAAAAATACAAAAATTAGCCAGGCGTAGTGGCGGGCACCTGTAATCCCAGCTACTCAGGAGGCTGAGGCAGGAGAATCTCTTCACCCAGGAGGCAGAGGTTTTGCTGTGCTGCCCAGGCTGGTCTCAAACTCAGACTCCTGCCCTCAAGTAATACTCCCGACTCAGCCTCTCAAAGTACTGGAATTACAAGAGTGAGCCACCGTGCCCAGCTGTCACCAAGTAATACTATATTTAATTTTTTTTTTTCTTTTGAGACAGTCTTGCTCTGTCGTCCTGACTGGAGTGCAGTGCCATGATCTCGGCTCACTACAACCTCCCCCTCCCAGGCTTAAGTGATCTTCCCACCTCAGCCTCCCGAGTAACTGGGACTACAGGCGTGCACAACACACTGCTAATTTTATTTTCATTTATTTTTTGGTAGACACGGAAGTTTTGCTATGTTGCCCAGGCTTGTCTCAAACTCAAAGTCCTGCCCTCAAGCTATCTTCCCGCCTCAGCCTCCGAAGGTGCTGTGGTTACAGGAGTGAGCCGCTGCGCCCAGCTGTCACCAAGTAATAGTATATTTAATATTTTTATTTTTTATTTACTTTTTTTTTTTTTTTTTTGAGATGGAGTCTCGCTCTGTCACCAAGCTGGAGTGCAGTGGCGCGATCTCGGCTTACTGCAACCTCTGCCTCCCCGACTCAAGTGATTCTCCTGCCTTGGCCTCCCAAGTAGCTACAGACACGTGCCACTATGCCCAGCTAATTTTTGTATTTTTAGTAGAAACAGGGTTTCACCATGTTGGCCAGGATGGTCTCGATCTTTTTTCCCTGTGATTCGCCTGCCTCAGCCTCCCAAAGTACTGGGACTACAGGAGTGAGCCACCTCGCCCGGCTATTTTTTTTTTTTTTCTTTTGAGACAAGGGTCTCATTCTGTCGCCCAGGCTGGAGTGCAGAGGCATGATCTCGGTTCACTGCAACCTCTGCCTCCTGGACTCAAGTGATTCTCCTGCCTCAGCCTCCCAAGTAGCTACAGACGCATGCCACCATGCCCAGTTAATTTTTGTATTTTTAATAGAGACGGGTTTCACCACGTTGGCCAGGATGGTCTCGATCTCTTAACCTCATGATCCGCCCGCCTCAGCCTCCCAAAGTGCTGGGACTACAGGCGTGAGCCACCGCGCCTGGCTATTTAATTTTTTTTTTTTTTTCTTTTGAGACACGAGTCTCACTCTGTCGCCCAGGCTGGAGTGCAGTGGCGCCATCTTAGCTCACTGCAACCTTCAACTCCCAGTTCAAGCCATCCTCCTGCTGCAGCCACGGCGCCCAGCTATAATGTTTAAAACATTAATTCACTGATATACTATCTGCAGGGCAGGATAAAGATTTTGTCACCAAGTAATAGCATATATATTTTTTTTCTTTTGAGACAGAGTCTTGCTCTGTCACCCAGGCTGGAGTGCAGTGGCGCCATCTTGGCTCACTGCAACCTTCACCTCCCAGTTCAAGCCATCCTCCTGCCGCAGCCACTGCGCCCAACTGTAATGTTTAAAACATTCATTCACTGATATACTATCTGCAGGGCAGGATAAAGATTTTGTCACCAAGTAATAGTATATTTAAGTTTTTTTTTTTTCTTTTGAGACAGTCTTGCTCTGTCACCCAGGCTGGAGTACAGTGTCGCCATCTTGGCTCACTGCAACCCCCGCCTCCCAGTTTCAAGCGATTCTTCCACCTCAGCCTCCCGAGTAGCTGGGACTAAAGGCGCGTGCCACCACGCCCAGCTAATTTTTGTCTTTTTAGTAGAGACGGGGTTTCGCCATAGTGACCAAGCTGGTCTCGAATTCCTGAGTTCAGGTGATCCGCCCGCCCCGGCCTCCCAAAGTGCTGAGATTACAGGCGCGAGCCACCACGGTCGGCCTGAAGTACTTTTTAAAGGTTATTTTGTCAGATGTTCCAGACAAGTTTATTGGTTTGACAGGGAGGAAATAAACTACTTAAAGGCTAGTTCCCTCAGCCCGTTTTCCTCCCACATCTCTAGCCTGACACAGGATATATTTCTATATTTATAATACATAATCAATATACAAGGCAAAAAGCTGTCGTCACGACTGACAATACACGCTGTACCTTTAACACGCCACAGATGGACTGGAACAAAAGCTTTTAGCAGAAAGTTCTCCACCAATCGGAAACTGAAAGAAAACAATACAAAAATAAGCCAATCAAAATGTAGATGAGGGACGGAGGGAGAGGGGACCAACCGCCTCAGCCCAACTGCCTCAGAATAACGGAAAAGCTTCCACAGAAACGCACATCAGCATAACCGGTACGAGAGGCGGCCGGACTGACCCCACCATTCTCACCAGCAGGGGGAGATCACGAATCAGCGCTTTTTTTTTTTTTTTTTTTTAAAGTCTGACTTGAAACCACCAGATGGGGCCAGAAGATCAGAGTAGGTACCTTTCTACTTTTCTTTTTCTCAGGGAATTTCTCTTCTATCTCCAGACCCTGAATGAAATAAAAGGCATATTAATCATCACACACACAGACACACGCCCCCCAACCCCCAAGACGATGGAAGTGGCCAGTGCTCCCAAGCAACCCACCAGTCACGTGGCCTCTGCGCGCGAGCTAGTCGTTTATAATTAAAGTGGTAGGCATTTCATAAGGCTGTGCGTGAATTAAATGAGATAATGCATGTAATACACAGTACCAGGTAAATTCTCAGCCCCGACTCCAAACCCGCAGAATGAGAAACTGAAGCCCTCCAGGTGATTCTGATGCACACCAAAGTGTGACAATTATTGCTCTGGGAAAGAAGCCTGCCCACTCAGATAGCTAACCAAATTTTTTGGTCATTTTTACAGCTCTCATGACGCTGTGATTTCCGAATTATGTTTCCTGCCCTAAAAATTCCAGAACCTTGTGTCTTGAGCCCACCTGTGTGCCCAGTATTGTGGTGGATGCAATGGAAAAGAGATAGATAACCTTCTAGGCTTGTAATGTAAGTAATCTAGGAATAGGAAAAGGTAATTAACTCCACAAGGTCAGATTTAGTAAATGTCAGATGAATTATCCTGACAATAAGCAAATGTTCTAGGAAATCAGGGGAAGGAAATTTCATAATTATAAAGGGGAAAAGCCTGACCAGAAATAGCCACTGCCAAGCCAAGCCCACGCCTCAAAATTAGCCATAAGTCATTTTCTACCACAAGGTTATGGAACAGAACTTTAGCTGCCTAATTAAGCCCCTGCCTATAAAAGAACCCCTAACATACCTAAGACTCCACTTATCTTTAGCAGTTGCCCCCTGAAATTTTTTTATGATAATGTTTATAGCCTTTAAAAGTCCTTTATTTTCCCCCTCCACTCCTCCAATCACTCATAGGAAAGAACAAATATGTACAATGCAGACAAAACACAAATACTTGACAGAAGTAATTATACAGTACCATTGCCAAGATGTTCAAAATGACTAATTTTTCACTTTGGTTGCATGAAGCTGCTCTGAATGTCAGTGTGCACTTTCATGGCAGGAAAACAAATCAGGAGAAAAAGAAGTGGTGTTCCCAATTATATTGGTCCACAGTAAATGATGTCTGATAATCATTGGCATCACTGCCCATTTTCTAAATGATCATTGTGTCATCACATAAAAGGTAGGGTAAATCTGAGACTGGAAGATACCCAGCAAGACTACCAGACAGTGATTTCATGAAGGCTGATGGTTCACTTCATTCAATTTCCTTTTGCCATTATTCATGGTAATGTTATAAACACAGGTCCCATTTTTATTATCTTCATAGTTTTTTCTAGCCAAATGCAAACTGAGAGTGTATTTAAAGTGTTGATTTGCACAATTATTCACAAGTTTGTGTGAAAGAGAAGATGTTTGGGTAGAATAAACAAGGTTACAAAATAGATGATGGTGCTTAGAAAAAAAAATGATGACCAAGGCTTTTGTGTTTGATATCTCTATATTTGGCTCTTAAAGGCAAACCTAAGTGCAGACTATTCACATGTATTCACACACTAATACAATATATTCCTTACTTTGACTGTTTGAACATCCCTTATCCCTCACCTGCCCTCCACCCCCTCTACTCAGTACAGACCAATTTGAGAGCCTCATGAAGAGAAAGAAGAGGCAGTAAATGTACTGTGACCTATGACTGAGCCAGGTCTGCCTTGATTCTTCCCTTACATTTTGCTCATTGGTTTCACATCCAAATGCTGCTCTTACCTGCTCCTGGTTAGCCTCCAGGATGACAGGATTCAGGTGCTCTGGGAGAGTGCTCTAATCATCCATAGTAGTTCTCTCTTTGTCATTTGGGGATTACTAAGACATTTTCTAGGCATGAATCATGGTTGTTCCTTTCTGGGCTGCGAGACACAGAATTTTTGTTTTTGTTTTGTTTTGTTTTTAATCTCTTAGAGATATGATTTCTTGTGTTTGGAGAATATGTAAACATTTTCTTCCTTTGCTTCATATTCCACAGGGGTGAGCCAGACACAGGAGCTCCAACTTTGTCTTTAATCATCGAAAGTTGCCCCTTGACAAAAGGATGGTATAGGAAAAATCAATAAAGACCCTCTTCATGACCAAACTTTAGTCAGGCTTCTCTGAGCCCATTTCTCAACTAGGCCTCAACTTTGGCCTGTAAGAACTGCAACTTTCAGCACAATTTCATCCACCTGCCCCCAACACATACACACACTAAGAGACTTGAACAAACACTAGCATAGTTTCTATCAGCTCAAGGCCATTTCCCTAGGATGACAACCTCAGCCCCTTTAAAATGCCTTCCTGAGACTATTCAATGCTGCCAAAAGGCCATTTCCCTAGGATGACAATCCTAGCCCCCCTTAAAATGCCTTCCTGAGACAGTTCATTGCTGCCAAAAGAATTTACTGTTTGTTGAGACCAAAACCTGACTACAGCCCCTGACTCCCTTTCCTTACAGCGTGTACTTTAGAAAACTTGCAATTGTAAATTCTTTCTCTCTTCTTTTAAGATGTATCTTCTACAACCCAGGACTGTCTTTCTCAACAACCTGGAAGCCATCCCTTTGTAATGTAATGATCAAGAAAAACAAGGTCCATGTCTCCCTGTCTCTATGGGAAGGCAGGAGCTTAGCTTTCTTTTCTTTTTTTGATTTTACTTTGTTTATTTCATTTCTTTTTTTATAGTTCTTAATTATGTTTTTCTTTATAAACCTGACATTGTGAACATAGAGAACCTAACTTTAATAAGCACCCATTAGCAAACACAGATGCCCCAGTACATTGACCAAGCTCACCCCCACTCAATGTCCTTCGGTACTTTTCCTTAGCACACCCTGCCTTTTGTTTCAGTGGAGTTGACATCTGTTCATCAGAAGTCTCTCTCCTCTACCGCAGTGGCCTGAATAAAATCTGTCTTGCCACCTCTAACAAATTCCAGGCTCTGTTTCTCTTTGACACCATGAGCTAACAGGATCAAAATCATATAGCAGAGTTAGAAGATGCAATCTCAGGGGCAACAGGAAAAAGAATAAATGGAGGTAGAACCAAGAATATGGAACTCTTTTAGGGGATCATCTCAACTGATTGTTAATTCAGATACATTTATTTACATGCATGCAGTATTAAAGTGGAGATGTGGAGGAAAGACAAGGAAAGACGAGACTTGGGCACAGTGAGAGCCATTTGGTTGTGGGATAATATTTCCAAACTGGGGCTAAACTCAGTAAGATGAGATGAAGGCATCTCAAAGTGTGATGGATAAACCTCTAACACATACTGTAGCCAGCAAACCAGCACTGACCAGATTGAAAAGATTAAGTGGAGCTTAAGTCTTTTCATGGCCTAAGGAGTCTGTAAAAGAGACCCTGTCTCAACTAGATCAGCCTTTCTCTGGACAACTTATTTCTCATAGGGAAGGTCAGAGCCTGCTAGACCACTTAGAGCACACAGAATCCTTAGAGCCCTCCAACTTTGTGCTGTCACTGTTCTCTATAGAAACAGTGATGTCATGAAGAAGTAACTCTGGTACCAGCTGGCAGTCAAGGCTGTAGGAGGGCATGGAGAGTTGAAGAAAAGAGCAGTATCTTGAGGCAGACTGGAAGAGTCATCACAGCATCCAAATCGACAAGAAAACATCATTCCAGGGTCCTACATGATGGCCTACTCTGATACTACAACGGTAGGGACATCTAACTTCTTTTTGACTAGCTAGGGGGGCATCTTAATGGTGACCTGAAACTACAGAAGCTGCTAAGGCAGCCTCCAAGTTTCTATTTTCATACTTTTATTTGGGATACCCAGAAAAGATTTTGATTAACATTTCTCTGTTTCTTTGTAAATCTAAAGATCTCTTGCAACATAACTCTGATTCTCTAGTAGGGATATGATTAGATTGTTCTGGAGGTCTAGCAGGAAATGAAAAGAGAAGGGCTATCTTGATGGACTGTGAGCTGGAGAAAATGTGAGAAAAATGGTGTGTACCCTCATAGAGATACCAGAAAAAGTTTGTCCCACAGCAGGCAGCCTGATGTGCTTTTGATGGGAATAGTTTACTGAGTTTGCCAACATGCCCACCTTTGCTTAGGTTGTGACAGTTTCAGGCATTGTGACACAACAAACTCTGTTGCCACACCCCAGGGTCAGAGGCAGCAGGGGAAAGCCTGGCCCCTCAGTCTGGTCCAACAGCTGGCAGGGGTGGCAGCCAACTGCAGGTGCCCAAGAACTTGGCACTTCTCAGTTCCATCTAAAGGGGCACATCTCCCTTCTGGGTGTCACGTTTTCAGCCAAACGTCTAAAAGAACTTCATCATCAAGGTAATGAGTTCATAAATTTTGTTTTTCACAGTTCTGTTGGACTTGGACGTACGCTGTTTCTGAATCACATGAGGGACTCTGCCTCCACCTCTTTTTTTACTAGGCTAGTGTTCTCTATCTAGCTCTTGGAAAAAAAGAAACTCCCTCTTCAGAGTGTGTAGGAGTCTTTTCCTGTAACTTTTTCAAGGTTTCACAGAGATTCCTGAAGGAAGAGTTCAAAAAGATCTTGGTTGCGGGCAGGGATGGTAAAGAGCAGGAATGTAGTATTATCATGTGAAAGGATAGCCATTAGAGAATAGCTATTATTAACAAGCTGTGGGGGAATAGAGAAGAGGTGGAAGGAAAGAAGGAGGAAGGCAGAAAGAGAAGGGGAGGGAGGGGGAGGGAACGGGGAGAAAGGGGAAGGAGAGAAAGAGGGGTAAGGGGAAGGGAGGGAGAGGAGTGGGGAGAGAGGGGAGGGGAGGGGCAGAAAGGAGAGTGGGAGT